CGCCGGTGCCACCCAGCGGCACACTGCAGAGCTGCTGAGAGGGTTAAGATGTGGCTAAGGTACAGACTCCCGGCCACAGGCCCCCATACGTGATAGTCCATGACCAAGGGCCTAATTATATCTTATTTTATAAAGTAACACATAGTAAAATGGGCTTGTTTTGTGTGCACTTCTATAAATTCTAGAATTGTAGAAATTTGGGTAGCTGTCACCACTACTAAAGGTACAACACCCCTCCTCCCATACCCTAAACCCTGCCAAGCCCAGCTCTGGTCTCCCTCGCTATAGTTTTGCCTTTGCAAGAATGTCACAAAATGGGATTATGTAGCATGAAAACCCCTTAGAATGATTTCTCTCTCTCCACATAATTTGGAGATGCCTTTGAGTCATTGCATGCTCCCAGATTCTGTTAATACCCTTTCACTGTTGAGTAGTATTCCGTTGTGTGGACATGCCATAGTGCACTTATCTCCCATCCACAGAAGAACATTTTGGTTGCTTGTGGTTGTTAGTGATCATGAGCTGAACTGCTATAAACTTTCAGGCACGGGTTTCTGTAAGAAAGTAAGTTTTATTTAAGATGTCAATTATTTTTCCTTCAAAATGTTGGTGACCAACATTTTCATCATAAAAATATTTCCAAAAAAAAAATTGCCTCATCCCTGTTTTATTAACCAGAGCAGGAGCGGAACTGCAGGCCATATGAAAGCAGGTGGGTCGTTTCTAAGAACTGCCAAGTTGTCTTTCAGAGTCATCTGCCCCCTGTCTGCATCCCCACACAGTGTATGCCCACACCCTCGCTCACCGGCATCACCAGCACCCGTCCGTCGCCTTTCACAGGCCTGTGGCCATGCCACTCCATGGCTCTCCTCATCTTCCTGATGGCCAAGTGCTGGGCGTCTGTTTCACGGGCTGACCTGACCTAGGTGAGCCTCTTTGGTGAAGCGTCTATTCAAGTGTTTTGTCTATTTTTTAGCCAAATTGTTTGTTTTCTTCCTTGAGTTTTGAGGGCTTTCCACATATCTTCAGGCCCTTTGTTTACATGGGAGTCACTGCGGTTTCTTCCAGTCTGTAGTTGGTCTTCTCATTTTCTTGCAGGACCCGGTTTCTTGCAGGAAAACAGTGTGAGGCTTTGATAAGGCCCAAGTGGTCCCCTCTGTCCTTTACGGATCACCTTTTGGTGTCAGGTCTACCTTCTCGCCCACCCCCAGACCATGACTATTTTGTTTCCTTTTAAAGTTCTAGAGTTGAGCGTTGCCAATAGAGATTTATGATCCGTTTGTAAGTCAGCTTGCAGAGAAGGCGTGAATCTGGATGAAGGGGTTCTTTGGTTTGATTTGGGTTTGGGGTTTTGCATATGGATATTTAACTGTTCCAGAAGCATTTGTTGAAAAGACCGTCCTCTCCTCTTGAACCGAATTGTGTTTGAACCCTTGTCAAAAATCCACAGGGTGTTTCTGTCACTAAGCAGTAGATCTTCAGGAGTGGGACTCTCTAACTTGCTCTTCTTTTTCTCATTTGTTTGGTCATTTTGATTCCTCTGCATTTTCGCACAGTTTTAGAATCAGTTTGTCTATGTCATCTGGGGGACCGCTGACTGCTTCACCATGGTGAGTCTTCTAACCCATTACCACGTTAGACTTCTCCAATTGGGTCTTCTTGAACGTCTAGCCTTTATCTAGCAACAACCTCACCAGCTCCCTGGCCCAGCCGTTTTGACTCTTCATTCTGCACCCCCGTCCCACTGGGGGAAGGAGGTACAATGCTGGTCAGGGGCTGGCCTCAGCTGGACAGCAAGCCCAGCACTGGTGGGAGACAGTTTTTGTTAGACTCATACCTAATATCCTGTTTCTTCTCCATTGTTTTACACAGTGCTGTTTACAAAAATCTGTAAAAATTTTGCTTAACTCTTCATTGCTATTATATAAGACTGTGATTTTCTAAATGTCCTTTTAGGGAAAAGGCCACTACCACTGTAGCATAGCAGAACAATGACAGCCACATGACTACCCTCAAATCATCTGTGCAACTGACAATCTGGACCCAAAGCCTAAGTCAAAATGATCCAGCCAGTCTTCAGTGCAAATATAACCAAAGTTTGTGTGATTCCTAACACATGGATTTATTGTTTATGTTCAGCTCTGAATTAAAAGTGACCGAAACAGTCTACATGCTGATTAGATAGTTGCTCCTTATGGCATACTTAATTGGGTGCTGAGGGATCTCAGTATTCCAATTTCCTTTCTCGTGAACAGTTCTGATGCCTGATTTCACATTTCCAGCTAACATGCAACCTACCAACTTCAGGAGCTCCTTAAAATATTTAAATTGCTTCCCCCCCTCCAAAGTTTGGTGACATATTCATTATAAATATAATTTACAAAAATCATGATTTTTATTTATTCAAAGTGGGTATGCACGTGTATAACTTGGTCTACATAATTCTTCACTAAATCTCACAACATGAACGAGCTTTGACAGGATGAGAGCTACCCGACCGAACCTCCACGTAGGTCCTAGGCATCTTTCCAGGTTTATCACAAGGTGAGGGATTCACGGTGGACTCCAGACCTGACTCTCAGCTGGTGGACGTGGTATTCAACTCCAGGCCGGGTCAGCTTGAGCTGATTCAGGGCTGTTAAAGTCTACCTCAGGCCCTAGGGCTGCGTCTAGGCAGTAACTTTGCCTGACGGACAGACCAGAGAAGCAAAGTCGCTCCTCTTAGGGCAACAACGTCACCAGCTCCCTGGCCCAGGCATTTTGACTCTTCATTCTGCACCCCCGTCCCACTGGGGGAAGGATGTACAACGCCGGTCATGGGCTGACCTCAGCTGGTCAGCAAGCCCAGCACTGGTGGGAGACAGACGACCCCATGAGAATTAGATAGCATGGTTCTTGGACTAAGAACCAGGCGACATGGTCAGGTCAAGGCCACAGGCTCTGCCTCTGAGGAGGACAAGCAAGTATGTCCCTACAGCAACCAGCAAGAGGACAAGGCACTGCGGACGTTTGGGCCCGGGCAGAGAAGAACCTGCGTATGGAGAAGAGCACAGGTGGCCAGCCCCTCTGCTGAGCAAGGCTGAAGGCCCAGCTGGGACCCGGAGGCTGATAAGCGAGAAGTGCGAGGGGAGGGAACAGTTAAGAGGTCAACACATGGATCAGTTATTAAGAAATCCAGGGATGAAACACGATCATTCTTTCACCCACAAGTTGGTTCCCAAACTCTGGGCAGGCCGGTCTGTTTTGCTCCTGCCGCATTTGCAGAGCATGGCTCACATCTGCCCTGGCCGTGGGTCAGGAGTGAGCGGGACCAACACAAGGCAGCGGGACGACACGAGTGCCCCATTCCTGGTGCGCTCACAGCCTGGAGAGGTGGACAGACCATCCACAGGTACCTGAGCAGCGCTCTGTGACTCCGGAGCAGAGGTGTCAGTGAGGAGGCCCACTGAGGCCCAAGGGTGCATGTGCTCCGGCCCTCCTCCAGGGCGGGTGTCGGGTGTCGCCCTGGTGGGCGGGTAGGTGCAGGCCAGGAGAGGGTAGAGCCTTTCATCAGCACTGGGGCATGGACCCCACTCTGGGCAGGCCACTGGGCCTGTGTGACAGAAAGGGACTGGACTTACATGGCCCAGAAAGCTTGCAGCCCACCTTGTGAAGTGTGGCCAGAGGGGAGACTCAGAAGGAAGAATCAGGAGGCAGTGACTAGAGGCTGGGCCTGGAGCCTTGGTCTCCACCTGGTGGGTGAATCCCTGAGCTTCTGTGTCCCTGTGATGACAGGAGCCGGTAGGAAGAGAGCAAGGAATACGTTGAGGAAAACCATCCAGGGAGTGATGGGGCAGTAGACCAGGAAGAGTCGAGGCATCAGGCCCGAGGGTCTGAGGGACAAAGACCCACAGGTGGGAGTAGCCACAAATGTCACCAAGTGCATGCCTGGGAAACTCGGCACACTTGGCCGATGGCCCTTGTTTCTCTAACGACAATCGTCACCCGTTGAGCCAAGCCTGGAAGATGAGCTCTCTTAAGCTCCAGAGATGCACCTTCAGGCATTTTGGTGGTGAAACTGTCTGTGAAGGCAGGGTCCTCCCTCCCACATGCCCTGAGGAGCCAGACCCGGGGCGCTCACAGCCGGCTGCCTGGCTATGGCAGAATTCTCTGCTGTCCATGGTCTCCAGGGCGTCCCTGCGTAACTCCTGCCCGACAGCTGCAGGCTGCTCACGGGCACTACAGTGACGTCCACGTGGGTTCTGGGAGGGACCATGAAAGGTCGGGGGAGAAGTCAAACCGAGTTTGTGCTCTGCTGCTGGCTCCTGAGTCCTTCCTTTGGTTTTCTGAGAACTGTCCTGTTCTGAGGCTCTGCACGGATGAATGGTGCACTGGCTGGCTCCTCCTGTGCAGGGCTGACCTCTGCTCACTGTGGACCCCGCCTAGCTGCAGCCCACCCTGCAGCTCACACTGCAGCCCACCCTGCAGCTCACACTGCAGCTCACACTGCAGCTCACACTGCAGCTAGTGCCTCTTCACATCCTTCTTATTCAAGATGAGCCAGCATCTCCCCAGATCGGGCAGACCTGGCACCGTGGTAGCAGGGGACATTTTGAGAAACAGGCCGGCACATGCTGCCAACAGCCTCAGACCTGGTCAGGGTCCTCTTTTGCTGTTAGCGGTGGTTTGTGCACCATTCCTGAGCATTTTTCTCTATCCAGACCAGAAGCCTGGGGGTAATTAGCATTTCACCTGCCCCGGTCCTAGATGAATTGCCTTTAATTACTGTCACTTCTGCCTGGTCAGTTCCTGGCTTCAGGAGAACCACCCGCTGAGTCAGTGATACAAACATCTACCCAGCAAGTCGCAGTCACGCAACCCAATGCCCGGCCCTGACCTCCAAACCTGCCGGGGGGCCTCCCGTCACAAGGTCCTTAGTGATAAGAAGAAAGAGAATCTCGATCCACAAAGGAACAGAGACCAGGCCCCTGCCCATCTGAGTCACGCCCTCTCTCTTTCAGGACTCACATGCAGCAAAGACTGCCCACTACGGCTCCCTGCCCCAGAAGTCACAGCATGGCCGGCCCCAAGACCAAAACCCTGTAGTCCAGTTCTTCAAGAACATCGTAAGTGGGGCTCAGGGGAACCCGGAGATGGTGAGGGGGGTCACGAGGCTGGGGACCCCAAGACCAAAACCCTGTAGTCCAGTTCTTCA